GGGAAGTAATCAGTAATTAGTTACTGATTACTTTTTTCAAGTAACTTGACCAACACTGCTCAAGAAAAACACATAATACACACATTTAAATGCATTAAAAATGATTCAGTTACAAGTAAAAAACACTAAGTATAAATCATAAAAACAATAATGTGTTAGACAATTTTAATAGAAATGCAAAAAGTACAACATCAAGAATAACATGTTGAACACGTCTTTAAAAGTTCAGGTTTAAACGTGGACAGAAAGTCCTTCAGGCTCCATGACTGATCCTCTATTCATTCAAACACCTGCGTTACATTTGAATCAGGGTCACGGTGAGTAAATCTGTGACCTCACGCTGCAAATATTAACTGGAGTAAAAGCAGCTAATTAACCTTGAAATTCTCCTCGTTTTCCCGCCGCACCGACCTGCCTGCGCTGCAAACAATCGCTTGAACGAAGGAAGGAAACTAAGCGTGAAACTCAACAAGACCGTCACAGCACTCAGGCCCGGCCTGCGAGTCAAGCGGACCCCACACTGTGGATGTGCAGCACAGTCCGGCGTGTGCGCAGACACGCTGATTGTGCGTCCCGATGGCTCAAAAGAGTCGCGGCTTTGAATGCAGCACGGCACATTTGTTACACTTGAGCCGCACCAGAGCACATTTAAAAAGAAATAAATCACCGCTCTGACAATCACGCCGCTTTCATCGGGTTAACGGGACGCACAAGAGTTTCTGCTCGCTAATCAAGCGTGGAAAACAGAGAGGAGAAAGGGCTGAAGAATGGAGGGAGGCTCAACTCTAGAGCCGTGTAGTCAAGTTTATTTGCACAGCCTTTAATCACGCTTAGTCTTCAGGAGTTTCACTGAGCCCCCCATTGAAAAAATAATAAAAGGAGTGATGAATGAAAGTGATTCCTCAGTCCTACAAGTACAAAAAGGCAGAAAAGGCGCAGACTTTGCTTTAGGTCTTCCTCTGTGATTAATTGTTCCTCCAGTTTATTTTGCATCTTTGTCTGATGAAGAATTTGACAAAACTCAGAGTGAGACTCGAGGCACAGCTGTGAGGTAAAAAACGGAAATCACCCTCGATGTGACTCTTAATAGGACCAATCACAGACTGGCATACTTCAGGATAATATGCACGATGGTGGATTAGACACACTGCAGGTAAAAATACAGAAACTGAGACGAAAAGGTGCAAAAACAGCCTGAAACTATAAACACAGATTTTATCCATCTGAGCAGGATCCTGATATTTTTACATCCAAAGTGGAAACTGGACTTTTATACAAGTAAAGACTGAACACACACACACACACAGCAAAGTTGTGTGTGCAATCAGACATAACAGCCACATCTGTTCAGGCTCCTAAATGAGATCTTCACAGCTCGTTTCTCATTCAGATAATCCACTCTCCCACAGCTCTGAGACTCCTCAGGGCGTCACACATGTAACTGAAGTGGGCAGATTTATAGAGGTTAAAGGAACAGAACATGAAACGTGTCATAGAAACAGACAAAAATGTGTCATCAACTCATTTAAAGCTTGAGGGGC